GTTTGTTACTATAAAAAAATGCACTGGACTACAAGGAACTTTCATCAGAAGCAAAAAAATACTTTTCTAAATCAACTTTTCGCGTTGTTTTCAAAATCTGCAAGTAAACTTTTTCTATCACTTCTAATANTTTCAAATCTGCAAGTAGACTATTTCTATCACTTCTAATTTTTTATATTATTACTAATTATATATAAAATAATAATTAAAAGAAAAAAAAATTTGTTTTCAAATTATTACTGATTTGATTTTTCATATGTTAAAAATAATCAGTCCAAATTTTCAATTTTAACCTATTTTTTTCGTTCTTTAAAGTTGATGAAAAATTTTTGATAAAGATTTATGAAAGTTTAAAGTAATAAAAATTGAATATATTACCATAACTTTTAACTCAATTACAAGTTTAAAATTGACATCTAGGCCAGTCAACAAAGGAAAAATTGCGGAAAAAATTTTGTTTTTTTAAAAGTTGAATTAAAATATGTATAATGACATACTAATAGTCCTCAAGATTGGAATTGAGCTTTTTTTTTACATCCTCGCAAAAGTTCAAAAATATGAGCTTTCTTAATTTTCTCAAAAAAAAATATTTAACTTACAAAAAAAAGTTTCGTACAAAAGTTGTTTAAAAGACAATTATAAACAAAAAAATTATCGTATATTTTTTCATTTAAACAAATATTTTTCGAGTTACATTACATTTAATATGAGTACTAAAATTTATATTCCATTTTTTTTCATTTTACAGGTACTTTTTATTATGTTATACTTACATTAGACACAATGTTATAAATGCATATGTGTGTATNAAAGAAATAAGAGTTGATGTTGCTTTTGGAATAATCCACCAATTTCTCTAAATGAAACACTATCTACAGATTTGCATCGAAGCGTTTCTTATGATAGTGATTTTAATCACTGTCAGATATCATCTATACTTGTCCCATCTATGCCTTGTCTACACTGTGCCTCGACCCCACTGTGCTACGGTTTTTATTTTGTTTAATAGTACACACTTACATATATACACACTAACACAGCTTTCATTACATAGATCACTGGTTGCTGCGCAGGCGAACCCTCCCACCTCCAGTGATTCTATTTACATACATTACACTACGCACCCTGATCGGTATCAGTGCAATTAGCCGGTTCGGGTACGCACTATAATATTTAGTGCCCCTGACCCCAACAAATTTAAATAAATAAAAATACTGGTATAAGGGGCAACATACTGAATTTATTTCTATTGTCCCACCTATGCCTCGTCCACACTGTGCCTCGACCACACTGTGCTACCGTTTTTTTAATTTTTAATCTTATTAAACATATTCTTTTCATAAAAAAAACTTGAGTTTATTCTATTTAAATAGGATAAAATGGGGAACATGGCCATTTTTTTTTAATTATAGAACATTTTATGTTCTAATATTTTTTATACTTTTAAAAATATTTCTTAAGGCATAGTTAATCTATCACTCTGTATTTACAGTGTTTAGTATCATCATCAATATTTCTTCTAGTTTTTTTTCATTCGTTTTATCATTCAGGAGTGTCTTTCCTTAGTCATAAGGTAAATTTGTAACGTATGTTTAATTTTGGTACTTTTTTTTTTCATTCATGTTAATTACTTAATAAAATAAATACAGTTTGCATTTTCATTATTCCTGTTCTTTATAAATTTGTGGGAAGTATCGCATTGCACTCATAGCATCAATAGTGAATATCGTTCATGAAATTCACTTTGTTTTAATGTTCAATTATAAATCTGTTTTAGGAATCAATTTTTAGTTTTTGGCGTTTGATGGATACAGTGGATTGAGAATGTTGTTTCTGTAATGGTCAATTGTCAGTATTTAAGTTTCTGATTTGTGTTGTCCCACTATGGATAGGGCCTAGCAGTAAAAAGTCGAATGTCGCTGAGTTAAACTTCTTAAGTTATACATATTTTTTTTGTAAGTGTAAACCTAAGTTTCTCAAGGTGATAGTGTGGGTTGTACCAATCTGTTACGCCAGGTCCCTTTGGTAACATTTGTACTAGTATCATAGTAGTAGATTAAGTAGTATATATATTTTATTTTATTAACACAATTTAGTTTATTTGGGCATCAATCTACCGAATTAAAAATAATATCTCATTATTAAATTTTTTTTCCTATGTAAAATGTAACAATATTTATACTGTGGACGATACTTTTTTTTGATATTCAATTGATTAAATTGTTTAATTATTTATAATAACTATATTTGTTTGTTGGATATCTACAGCGATGAGAGGAAAAAAAGAGGATTTAACTTATTGATTGTTATTGGGGAAAACAAGAGATACATTGTTATGGAATAGGCGCAGGGGGCCATTGTGACATAGTTTTTTTGTTGTAAGTCAGTCGTGAAACGGACGTCGAATAGTAAATCCGGTGCACCTTCGCGCACTGTAAATTTTATTCGTATGTAAAATGTACAAGTAATATCTTGTAAAAATACAGCCCACAAAATTTACTAAAATAAAGTATTTTAATATAATAAAATATCGTAAGCTACCACTTATTTAATATAATTGCTCCCTTATAGAAGTAGTATAGCCAATATTTTGTTTTCAACATTAAAGTTTAAGCGAAATTATTGAGCGATTCATTTATTATGAACCATTTAATTAGTCGAAAAATAAAAATTATTTCAAGATTTTATTTTTTGATTTCTTTTTTGTACATTTTTTTCTCAATTTATCAATCATTAAGTATTTTTTGTTCATATATTATACCTTAATAAGGGTGTCGACTTTTTTTTCAAATGACAGAAACGTAATTAACTAGCTTATTTTTTATATAATGACATAATTAAGCAAATAATAAATCAATAACAACTGTTCGATCATTATTTTCAAAACTATTAAAATGTTATAGTAAAGGTTCAAAGTGAGATGTGGGTGTAGTTATTTTGATCACTAGTCATTTCTCAACCGAATTCATCATCCCGTCTAGGTAAAGAAATGTCAATAACTTTTTAAAAATTTGTCCAAAAGTTGTTATCAAACAGCCATTTTTTTAATTAGATCGTTATGTATTAAAAATTTAATCACTTATGTATGTTACCATTTGAAAAAATAAAGTGACACCCTTATAAAATAAATAGAATGAACTAAAAATACTTCATGATTGATAAGTTGGGAAATATGTGTATCTTCTAGTAATCAAATAATAAAGTGTAGAAATAATTTTCAGTTTCATTAATTAAATAGTTCATGAATTACGAATCACTCTGAATAAGTGTACAAATAGTGAGAAACAAGTCAATTGTTACCAAAAATGGGAACAGTAGAAACTCATTATCTTACTTAATCAACACCCGATATAATACTGTCAAATTTAATGAATACGTTCCACATATAACTCATACTTTTAAAGCGGACTTATTCAATTTTTATGTGTACAAGTCATATATCAATTACTCAATTAATTAAGTAAAAGTAAAATAACAAAAAAAAAAAAAAAATTATATACACTTTTTTTTAGATACAGTTAGTTATATAAGGACAAAACAACAATATTCCGAAGTAAAATGCAAAATAAATTTCAAGAGAAATTTATTTTAAACGATCGAATGTTAAAATATCTAAGACTGCATTGTGAACTTAATCCATTCAATCTGGCTACAATTCGCAATTTCAAGTTTTACCAATTGTTCTATGCTATATTATTATTAATGGAATTTATTGTAATCAATTGCTATGTGTTTATTGGTTTTTACTATGTCAAAAACGATTTTTTTTCCGTTATACAATTATTTATGATTGTATTATCCACTATTCTAATATATCTACACAACTATAGACTTTCAAAAAAATATGGTGAATTAAGAAAATTATTCAATGCAACGAGTGGCGATTTTCTATCTTCTAGTTATAAAGAAAAATGTATATTTGAAAACAACGCATTTATGTGTACTAAAATAATAAACATATTTTTTTTTATTAATTTTTTGGTTGGGTTAGTTTGGATCCTTAGTCCATTGATTGTAAAAGAATTTCTTTTAAAAAGAAGAGACGGCAGTCTGGTAATTTATCAAAACAACGTATTAAATTCATTCTTAAGTTTTATACCAATTCCGGTTTATAAGCGAATTTACCCAATTATATATATATCTGAAGTTATTGAATTAATACATATAATTTTTGATATTGTTTTTTACTATACAGTAGTTATACAATTTTGTTGGATGTTATCAGCTCAATTGAAAATAATGGCATTTAAATACGAATCATTTGGATACGAAAATATTGAATTAGGTGCGTATAAATAAATATGATTATTTCTTATTTTATTAATATTTTTTAATAACATAGAAGGAAAACATAATTTTTTTATTGCTAATAATGTTTTAAATTAATTATTTATTTTCCAAATAGGGCAGAGAAATAACTTAAATTGTATAAAAATTTTGAATCAAATATTTATGGATCACACAAAGTTAAATGCGTAAGTCGATTAAAAGATTTTTAAGTAATTTTTACATAGTGACTATATTATTGTAAATTTTTTTGTATTTATAACTTATTTTATAAATTGTTAAAATATTACATTCATTATTATCATATTTGAAATTATTTTTATTAGTTCAATTAGAAAATTTTATGAAATCATGAAACCAATTACATTGTTTACCTATGTTTGTTATTTCAATCTTTATATTGCTTTTACATATATGTGTTTTTTGGTATGTATATTTTAAATTTAGCAATTAAGTGATATTCATAATTTGATGAGAAATTTGTTTACAGAATTACTTTAAAAATGGCTGTGAAATGTCAGTTATTTTTACGAAATTATTATTAACAACATTGGTGGTGTCTATTGATTTGTTTATTATGTGCTATTATTATAGCTATCTTGAAAATCAAGTAAATTTTAACAATAATTTGATATAAATACTCCATTTTCTGAAGTTTTAAATTATTTATAAAAACAAGTTCTTATCAAAAATATACGAACAAAGTATGCCCCTCATGTAAAAGTACGAAACATTTAAGTGCAAAATGTATAATAAACAAAATTATTTTAAATAAAATTTAATAATATTTAACTAAATATTTTTCTCTGAAGATACATTTAAATGTTTTGATATAACAGTTTATTATGGATTTCTACTAAACTATACTTTATTTCGCGCTATATTATAGTTATATCAAAAATAAAGTAAAATAATATTTTTTTTTATTGATTATTTTTAGAATAAAATGGGTTTATTATTGTAATATTATCTACTTAATATAACTTTTGAATCTGTAAATCAAAAATTTAATTGAATTAGATTTTGAAATTAGACAGCACATTCAAATTACATTTTTGCTTAAATTTGATATAAATACTGAATTAATATCGTTATTAAATGTTTCAAACACTGATAATCTCTATCAGTAGTTGATAATACCCTCATTCAGGCCGATAGTTGTTAACCTTTCGTACATAGTTTATTGGTTGTATACATTTTTGTCTTCGTTGTTTTTAATGGTCAACTTTAATTTGTTTGCTTTCTTTTTCTTTTATATTGTGCACATTTGATAGAACTTTTTCGCTGCAAAATTGATTGTTTTTAACTACATTGTCTGTCTGTTATAATTTTTGCACATTTAAGTTCACAGCTAGCTCCATCATCAATCTTTGTAATTTATGCATTTATTGTATTAATTTTATACTGTTCAATCACTTTATACATTACGATCTCGTAGTTCGCTCGGTTGTCTTATTAGTATTGAACATTTGAACTTTTAGTCTAACTGATAAAGTGGTTAATCAGTATTCAATTACTTAATATGAACAATTCAATCTTTTAAAAATTATGTTATAATTGAAAGATCGAACAAACCATCTGGCTTTTTATACGGATAAATTTTATACTCTTATCCATAATGATCCCTTAATTAAACTTTTGCTTCAACAAAGTTTTGTCATAATTTGCTTAACTTAATCTTTTATAACTGTAATTTGCACAATAGGGGCCTGTGAACTCATTAGTTTCTCTGTTGCTCTATTACTTGTCAACGTCAATCCATACTTTTAATACTTTATTTTGTACCCTAATTATACCATAGTTGTCATTTAATCTTATTAATTTTTTCGTTAATGTTAACTGCACAACTAGTTCGTTAGATATTTTTGCACATTTGTCCATTGCCAAAGGCTGCACACTTGCGACAACTCTAGGTGATGGGGATTATTTTATATTGAACAATAACATCCATCTTAGCAATAGTATATGGGACTTAATACCTTTCTATATTATTTATTTTCCAGGATAAATATAAGAACATTGTGTTTACCCTTGATATGATAAATTAATTGTAAAATTGCTCATTAGTCTATATTGTAACATTTATCTACCTGACACTTCATAAACTTGCACATAATAATCTATTTTGTTCCTTATGCATTTATTTATTTTGTCCATGATCCATATTTTTAATTGTACATATAATAAAGTTGCACTATTGTTATTAATTATAATCTGGCTGTCGACTACTTTCTTTATTCTTGCTTTATGCAGACCACTCGATTGTATATAAGTTCAGATTCTGATTATTACATGTTCAGAATTGATTCAAGTAATTAACTTTAATAAATAGTTGATATACTTACTACAGGTATTCAATTTAGAGGGTAAAGTTTAGGACATAAGTATTATGAAATTTAGTCAGATTAATTTAATATAACATTTTTAATGGCATATGGTTGTAAGAGGAAATCTTTGGTTTAAAGGAATTAAAACCTAAACCTAGTGATAGACTTGTCGCACGTACTGGGTTGATCTAGTAATATTTTTATTTGCTCCCAACAAAATATGTAATATTTATAAAAAAATTTTCCAAAATTTTTTTGTTATAACAGTTGTTTTATATATTTTTATTGACAAAATGTTAATTAAACTTCTAGAAATACTCAAAGAATACTTTCTATATCCATCCATTATCTCATGTAATGGTAAAAACTAAATTTTTGTTTCAACGCTGTTGTACCAATGTCGACTGAAGATACAACTTTGTTGTATCCCTAATAACTCTATGTTTGATGTCTTTACATATCATTTGGTATATTTTTTTGTAAATCTGACACTTAACATGCCCACAGGGGGGGGATTTAAAATGACAACTTTTTTACAAAAAATTAACTTTTTCAACTTAACTTTTGAAAATGTTTCGGAAAGTCTGACACTTTTACATATATCTTAAATTAAAGATAATGTAATGTACTTTATAATGAAAAAAAAAATTTGACCTCTGGACTTGTCTTTGTGTTGAAAATGGCTAACGAATGCTATTTTTGTGTGAAATTTCTCGATTTTATATTTTACATTTTTTAACATTATGTTGCTATAACTTTTTAAAAAATGTATGGATCAATACAATTTTTTTATGAGAAATAATATTTTAGCTTCGATGCAAAGCTGAGAAGTTATTGGTTTTACTAAGATGTGTTTATTAATTAATTAATTAATTTTTTTTTTGTGTCTGTTATCACTTTTTCTCAGCTCTCACCGAANTTTTTTTTGTGTCTGTTACCACTTTTTCTCAGCTCTCACCGAACCGATTTCTTTCAATGATACGTCAAAAGATCACAAATCGTATCTAGTCGAAGACATTACCCTTAAAAATTGAAAAAAATTCCCTCGTTCCCCGTAAATGGGGGAAACCTCCAAAAAAATTACAAATTTAAAAATCGCTAATTTTAGAAATTTTAGAAATTTTTTTTACTTTAAAGTGTAATAACTTTTTCAAAATTGAACATATCAATATAATTTTTTTTTATATAGATTTATGATATCATAACCTTTCATTTGGTATATTTTTTTTTTATATGTGACTCTTTACTTGCTACTAATTTACACAGGGGGGGATTTAAAATGACAACTTTTTCACAAAAAATTAATTTTTTTAACTTAAATTTTGAAAATGTTCCGGAAGGTCTAACACTTTTATATATATCTTAAATTAAAGCTAATGTAATATACTTTATCATGAAAAAAAAAAATTTCGGACTTTATCTTATCTTCATGGTGAAAATGGCTACCGAATGCTATTTTTGTGTGAAAATTTTCGATTTTGTATTTTCCATTTTTAACTTTATTATGCTATAACTTTTTGAAAAATGTATGAATCATTACAATTTTTTTATGAGAAGTAGTATTTATATAGATCTTTCATTCGACATACTGTTTTTTTAAATCGGACCATTTCCCTAAATACAGGGGGGATTCAAAACATAAAAATGCATATAGAAAGTAGAACTTTTTCAACGTAACTTTTGAAAGTGTTCCGGAAGGTCTGACACTTTTATATATATCTTAAATTAAAGCTAATGTAATATACTTTATAATGGTAAAAAAAAATTTCGGACTTTATTTTATCTTCATGGTGAAAACAGACATTAAACTTAATAAAAAAAATACGATTTTTGTAAAAAAATTCTTTTTTATATTTTTAACTTTATAATGCTATAACTTCTCGAAAGATGTATGGATCAATATAATTCTTTTTTTTGTAGATGCATGATGTCTTTACCTATCATTTGGTATATTTTTTTTATAAATCTGACTTTTTACCTGCCTACAGGGGGGGATTCAAAATGACAACTTTTTCACAAAAAATTGACTTTTTCAACTTAAATTTTGAAAGTGTTCCGGAAAGTCTGACACTTTTATATATATCTTAAATTAAAGCTAATGTAATATACTTTATCATGGAAAAAAAAAATTTCGGACTTTATTTTATCTTCAAGGTGAAAATGGCTACCAAATGCTATTATTGTGTGAAAATTCTCAATTTTATTTTTTACATTTTTAACTTTATAAAGCTATAACTTATTGAAAAGTGTATTGATCAATATAATTTTTTTATGGGAAATACTATTTTTTAATAATCCCTTTTTCATTCGACATACTTTATCTTAATCAGGATATTAATAAGGAACTAGCAGTTTATGAAGCTTTTGGAATAATCCACCAATTTTTTAAAATTAAACACTATCTAAAGATTTGCATCGAAGCGTTTTTTTTTTATAGTGATTTTAATCACTGTCAGATATCATTATACTTGATCCAACTATGCCACGTCACCACTGTGCCGCGACCCCTCTGTTCTGGGTTTTTTTATTATTTATATTACAATACATTTAATTGTTATGATACGAGTATATACAATTATTCGTTTGTAGTAGCACATCGATTACCGATAATCAATGTGTCTACATTGCGACGCGATGGATTTATTACATGTTTTGTTCTTATTTGTTCCGTATTATCGAGTAGTGGAAATTCTCAATAGATTATTTATTTTTAAAACTTAATTGCACAGTCGGTGGCAGATTCCACATAATTTCAATTCCACAATATTATATCGATTATAACATTGCATTTAAGATAAAACGATATTTTGAAAAAAATACAAGTCCAAAAAAAAATTATAACGTTACAAGTCGAGTGGGGGTAAATATGACCCATTTCAATTTTGATGAATATTTTAAATCATACGTTTTTTTTTTCGAAGGTATTTATTTATGAAAATTGATTCAATATTACTATAAAAACAATCTTCTACATTTATATCTATGTACACCTTTTATGCAATATAATACATCCGTTTTTATTTATGTGGGGATATGCTAGACCCCCAAGCGACTGTTTAAGGGTTAAAAATCTAATACAAAGTTAATAGTATAACCATTATCAAAAATAATTAATAAAATATTCATTTCCTCGTTTAATGATAATAAATTAGGATAATACAATTATGTTATAATCATACCAAACATTATAATGTTAAATAAAATGTTTTACTTCTTGCTTTAAAGAAATATGACCATTTTACAATGCAGAGTTAAGATGGTATTAATTTTACTATGATGTATTTCATTTTTTGTATCTATTGACACTGTTTCAAAAATTGTATCCAGTTGATCCAGCCCCTAAAACTTGAAAAAATATTCCTTGTTCCCCGTAAATGAAAGAAATCATCCAGAATATTATGTTTTTAAATTGGCAAATTTAGATATCTTTACTTTTTCTAGTTTAAACTGGCATAACTTTTTTGAAATAATGGATGAATATAAACAATTTTTTTTTTTATACCTTAAATATGTTCCTTATATTATGTAAACAATTTGTTGAAAATATAACACTTTACCTGACTACAATGTCTCAAAATAACACCTTTGTAATTAACTTTTTATAAAATAAACAATTAATAAATTACCCTCTATAATATTTTTAATTAAAATTAAATATGAAAATATCATATTTATTTTGAACTCGATCATATCCCATTATTGATAAGATAATCTTGATTTGTGAATTTTTTTTGGACCGTATTACAAAAATATATTTTTGATGATATGAATATAAATCTTATAATTTTTTATTGAAAATAATTGTTATTTATAAATAAAATTAACTATTATATTAAAATAATAAGTGAAAATTTATTGCTCACTAATAATTATTCTTCATAAATTTAAGTGGTTTCTTTAATATTTATATTTTATACGATTTTATCAGATAAATGGAGTACAGTTTGCTATGTATAGTATTGATTGGACCGAGAAAAGTATAAAATTAAAAAAAATTCTCTTGTTAGCAATGAGTTTAAATAACGCGAACAGATTAAAAATGAATATTACTCCACGAAAATCGTTGAATCTAGAAGTATTTGGTTCGGTAAGTATATTATTTGGACACACCACTGAAATAGTGAAGTGTTTTTAATAATTCAATATAAAATACTTCTTATAAGATATGTAACTTGATTAATATAATAATAATAAATATATAATTACAATTATTTATTAATAATTTATTTTAGGCGTTACGCGTGTCATATTCAATTATTTCCGTCTTGGTAAAAAAAACAATTTCGAAATAAGCCAATTGGAGCAAATAAAAAATTATTTTGAAGCTATTGTGTTTTATTATATATTGAGTTAATTTTGTGTTAAATTTATAATTCAATCTTTAAATTAAGTTATAAAAAATTTGATTAGTAAGTAAGCTATGTTATTATTTTAATATTTGACAGTATAATTAAAAAACGGTAGAACAGTGGAATCGTGGCCTAGTTGTGTTTTAATTAGAAAGCTTTTATACCTTAACTTAGAATAATAGAAAGAAAAAATACTCTAATAACTTCGCAAATTTAATATTTAATAGATATATTTAAAACGAGATGAAATGTAAAATCGGTAGCACAGTGAAGTTGGGTTTTTACAATTATAATCAATTTTTATAAAATAACTGTTCCAACCATACAAATTATTTTTTTGTGGAATATAAACTATAATTATTATAGAACCTTGTTAGTACATTGTGGACGTGACATAGTTGGGACAAGTATAGGTAATATCTGACAGTGATTAAAATCACTATCATAAGAAACGCTTTAATACAAATGTGTAGATAGTGTTTAATTTTAAAAAAATGGTGGATTATTCTTAAAGTAAAATTAACTCCTATTTCATTCATTATTCCTAATCACCAGTTCTATGATTTATTAGTATAATATATGAAATGCGAACTTACNAATCTAGTAATGATGAAATGCGAACTTAAATTTAAAAGAATAATGGATAAAAAGAAGAAAATAGTGCAATGGAAAATTAAAAATCTGAGAGATGAGAAAATAAGCAAAAAATATAGTGAAGACACTAATGATATAATTATTGAAGAATCCCAAAATATTAAAGAAAGATGGCAGAACTTGAAAGATACAATTACAATGGCTGCAACGAAAACTCTAGGAAATAGCAATAATGCAGCAAGAAAGGAATGGATTACAACGGAAATAGTCAACATGATAGAGGAAAGAAGGAAATACAAGAGTTTAAACAGTATAGATGGTCAGGAAAAATACAGAGAACTGAGGAATCTAATCATTAGGAAATCGAGGGAAGCAAAAGAAAAATATTTGGAAGAAAAGTGTAATGAAATAGAAACCCTCATAAAGACAGGAAGTAGTGATGAAGCATATAAAATGGTGAAAATGTTTTTTGGTCAACATAAGCCCCGAACAGGGGGAATAGAAGATAACAACGGAAGAATGCTATATGAACAAAATGATGTAGCGAAAAGATGGAAAGAATATCTAAAAATCCTATACAAGGGGGAAACACTTAAGGATAATGAAACCAACGAATCAAACGAAGAAGATAAATCTGAAGAAGATGACGTAATAGACCCAATTATGAGAGAAAAGTTCGACAAAGCTTTGCGGAATCTGAAAAATAAAAAAGCAGCAGGAATCGATGGAATACAAGCGGAGCTTTGGAAGGAGGCGGGAGAAAAAGTTAAAAGGGAATTATTTCAAATTATCAAAGTCATATACGAAACCGGCAAATTGCCTGAAGATTACGTAAAGAGCCTAATTATTCCCATCCCAAAGAAAACAGCAGCAATGAAATGTGAAGAATACCGTACTATTAGTTTGCTATCCTATGCCTCTAAAATACTAACAAAGATTATATTCAAACGTATTGAAGGTAAAATAGAACAATCATTGACAGAAGACCAATTTGGGTTTAGAAGGAGTATGGGAACGAGAGAAGCAATATTGGCGTTAAGGATAATCATTCAAAAAAGGATTAGGAAAGACAAACAAACCCCATCACTGTGGTTTCCCCTCGTGAAATAAATTTCTTATTCATATAAAAATTCTTTATTTTGTGGTTTTTTTTTTTGTGGCTATCATTTATATTCCCAGCTTTCACTTGACTCATTTTTTTAAACGATAAATCAAATGATCACAAGTAGTATCTAGTTAAAGATATTACCCTCAAAAATTGAAAAAAATCTTTATCAAATAAAAAGTTCCTTTACCAGCTTTCTCCATATAGACAATTTTTATAACATGTTGCTATATGAATCACAAATCTAAAAAAAAATTATTTTTAGGTTCATCTGAATTTAACAATGAATTTTTACAATAATAATCAAATTTTATAAAACGCTAAATTGAGTAGATCTTTTTAACAACTTTTTTATATATTTTTAGTTAAAGTAAATCATTAAAATTAATTTCGTTCTGCATAATTCAATTGTAGAATATCTTTTTAAAGTACTTTAAATAGTAATTATAAAATTTCCCGATTGCATATTAATCTTAACCATTATACCATTTTATCAATACCATTTTTTTAATTCTCATAAAATTTTCTGATTAATGATTGAATTGAAATATTTTTTCTAATTCAAAAAGAATAAAGATAAAAATGCAAAAAATTTATTAATACATGTCGTATATGGCCAATTGCTTGGTATATACGTATATTGCATTATAATGTAATTGATAATTATCAATAAAAAATTTATAATCTATATTTTATATTACTTGTAAAAAACAAATAACTTATCTGTCATAGCATGTACACTGTTCAACACAATTTCTTATTATTTTAATAATACGTTATTTAAACTAAGACCCAAGTCGGTCTTACATGATGCGTCAAAAACGACTCGAAGTTTTGTGATTGTGCTGTTATTATTTATGACAGTATGATGATAAATAATGATAGTAAATAACAACAGCGCATCTCCTTTTTATTTCTCTCCTGATCAGGCACAAGTTCCATGTGTTCCACAATGTTTTGCCCGCATATTGGCATTTGATTGTAGATGCCGTTCTAACGATAAAAATCGTCTTTTTGCTGTTTTATATAAGTTATCTAATTGAATGACGTTACTTTTGAATGGCAACTATATCATGAACCGTCCATGTTCATCACGTTAAACCGTCCAATCAAAATATTTTTTGCTGTGTACTCTTCTAAACGCAAAAACTTACTAAGTATAAGTTCTAGTGACAATTCGGCAACATAATTGACTGTAAAGAATACATCGAATACCTCCGTTTATGGCTTGTACTACTGAGTCGCTTATTCTTCAATGAACCAGCAGCAACCAGGTTGTCGCTTTATTTTCCCTGTACACATCAAATCGTAGAAGTGACTTGCTCCGATTAATAAGTTGATTTTCTGTGGCACGGTAAAGCGCGGATCTATAGACTTAGGAATAACGCAGTTACCATTTAGCCGAACTTCGGTAACGTACTCGTAATGTGCTAAGCTATTAATCATAACGTTATGAAATAATAATTTAAACGTGAGTTGGCTGTAATGATTACCCGGTATTTAATATTTTTTTGATCCACCAATCCCTTAAACACTTTGGTCGACATAACTTATCGGTAACCATAAAATCTGTGCTATACTTTTGGTTATAAAGTTACTTTGTGACGCAGAGTCCAGTAAGACGCGACACTGCTTCCAATCACCACGATTACCTTTGACCAGAATAATTGTTGTTGATAATAATATCGACGTAGCAACCGGTAAGCTTGCATATTCACTAACTATTGCTAATTCACTTTGAATTATTTGTTCTGATTCACTATTTTTCGAATTTTCCGTTACACTTGGTGCTGAGTTGAACTCTGTCTGATCGTTCCGTGAACTTAAGTGTAAAAGTGTATTATGTTTCTTGCCACACTTAAAACAGCCGCGAGACAAGCATTTTTTTAGGGCCTGTCTGTATACAATTCCTGCATAAATTTCGTTTACTAATGTGTTTAATGCGTTTAAACTACCGATAATGATAAAAGACTAGGGCATCTATTTGCCTGGCAACTAAAGCATATTTTGTCCGTACTTGTAACCGCATTAGCAATTTTACGTACCATAAGTTTTTTAATATATTGACTACGAGTAACTTGTACTGTAGTGTTACTATAGCTAATTGTTTTAGACGATTCAATTGATTCTATTATTTTACACAACTAAATTGATTGTACTCTTTTTCATTAAATTTCAAATTACAAAAATTGAAAAAAAAATCAATAAATTGTATATATAATCTTTTATAGTTTATTCATTTCATCAACTAGTAGTTGAATACTTATAAATTAAGATTTTATTACAAAATTATAGTTACCTATTGAAAAACGACAAATTTAAATATTTTTTTAGAACAGTAATCGTTAGTAATCTTACCAGTGTAATTTTGTTAACATATTTTAAAGCATGAATGTGTTGAAACTTTCATAGATTGTCATATTATTTGAAAAGCTTGAGGATTTATCCATGTCTGCAGTTGAATTCAGACGTTTCGGACTCATTGCAGAGTTCATCTTCGGAGCGATAGTTACTGCTCGGTGGCTGAAACTATACTGGCGGCTTATCTTGTTATCAGTCTGTATTTATACGTTGGTTGTTTATCATATCTGTTTATGACTCATGTTGTTTACGGTATCTTGTTATTGCTGATGTTTTTGTTGACGACTTTGTTTTTGATTATTGTTGTTGTTTTTGACATTCTTGGCATTTTAGTCTTCCTTTTCTGCACCGACAGTTTTCCATTACGTTGATAGTAACTTTTTCTTGTATTGAACTGTTTTCAGTGTTGTTAGTTGATTTTATTTTTGTCTGGTGTATGATGGGTAACCAAGTTTTGTTTATTTTCCATCCGTCTTCTCTGTTGAAATTCTGTGGACATTTTTACTAGTATTTTTATATTAACATTTTTCTCTGATGGAGGAATAACTATAAAATTTGATAAAACGCTTTCAATCGCATCTCTATGATACTTATAGTTGGGATGATAGAATTTTTAAAGTTTTAGTTCTTTTTTTGGAAATATTACGTCATATTTTACTTAAGTTTATCCTACCTTACTACTATTTTTTTTTTTTGAAGTATAATTACTTATAGATTTTAATGTATTTAATCAATTGAAACCATTCCAATCAACAATCAAATGATTTATTGTACCTTCCCAAACATTTTTTTGTGTGTTTTACTTATCATCCTGATGTCATATTACATTTAACGTACACAAATTATTATACACTAAGTTGCCATTTTTGATATTTTAGTTGTCTTTATATATCAGTAAAATCTTTTTAATTAAGCTAAAACTTAAATTTTGCAAATTTTATAGTACCCGAGCACTATCCATAGGAACGCACATCTAAATGTTTATTATTTCTCCATTAAATTTTAAGTTAATTGGGATTTACTTTATATGGTTTCAATTTTAACTAGTTGATATTAATAAAACTGAACCAACCAACGCATCCTACGTTATTCATGTAATTCTTTTCTATTTAAATAGCACCTTATGTAATTTCTTATAGATAAATAAAACTTATTAAATTATTTATAGTTGCTATTTGTTTCGATAGCTAGTTAAATAATTAAATCATAAAAAACATAAATTAGAGCATCAAATAATTCACTAATTGAAGGATGCATGCGAGCGTAGACTGTAGAATTTAATAGCGTCGGACTCTTAGTTGTATTTTTAGGTGCTCCTGAATAAGAAAGTACAAACACCAAGAGTTTTCCTTTCACACTCCTAATGATGTCCTATAGGAATTCTCAAGTGGGACTCCTAAAGAAGCTTATATCTTGAACCTTATTGTACCTTATCTTATTATCTTGTTTTAACTTCTGCCATCCTTATTTACTATGTTTCCCATGTATGCGAACTCTTCTACTTGCTTTATTTCTTGGTTTTTTTGCAGATGTATTCTTGTCGTAATATTATTGCTCCTGCTGCATACGAGAACTTTGGTCTTTTTCGTTTTTATTTTCATGCTCAGTTCATTGAGCAGAGTTTCTTCCATACACCTCAGCATCCTTTGCAATTATTCTTCATAGTACCTGGTTTTATTTAAATAACTAATAAAATTATACAAAAATAAAAAAAATTTAGGAGTTATTTAAATAAAAACAAGGTGAAAAACTCTTCCCTATATATCGTTAAATTGTAACTACAACGGGCATTCAACCATCCGATGGATTATTAGGAATTACATGTCATTCTAACTCTTTTATTGGGTTGTAAGTCCAATAACAGGGTCTATATGACTGTTGTAGCCTATCAAATAGGAAACCACGACAACCCCTGAGTGAAACTCTAATCATGCACTTATTGAATCCATTGAGCGAGACTTCGTCTAAGCTCATCATATCCAGCAGGAATTCCTCGACACCAATCCTTTCTGATTCTATCGGGGTTGAACCACTAACTTATCGACGGCTTCGTGCTATCCGAGCAGAATAATACACTATACATAAACATACACGCGTCAGTCAATATTACTACACTAGTTTCTAATCATTTCAATAAATTAGCAAAAGTGATAACAAAATGCTATCACCTGTTAGCATTACCATCAATTCAAATAACACTAATAATACTGAAAGCAGTACATATATGCTTAAAATAATAAACAATTTCTAAAGAATTCTGCTGAATTTATGCAGTTTAAAATATCTAAATTAGATTTAACGTTAATTTACTAGCGGTCTACGTGAGATATTGTAAGTTATTAGCATTTTCTTGTAAAACGAATGATCTTTAAACACCGGAATTTTCCATGTTATAGGACACTAAAAGCCCCATATTACACCCGCGTACTAATTTGTAATCCTTCATATACTAGTAGGTGAAGACAAATTTCACCTAACTTGAAATGTCCTTGAAAATTCAATTTTTTTTGAGATTTTCTTTCAATTGACATATTTTTAGCTTCGATTCGAAGCTAAGAAGGTATTAATTTTACTATGATGTGGTTTTTTTATCTGACATTCGGTTTTCTCTAGTTTCACTGAACCGATTTATATCTCTCTGTTGTGAACCCAGTGTGGTACGTTAAATAAATAATTATTAGGTATTTAAATTAGCTATACTCTTTACACTTTTGTTACAATAAATAACATCACATAAATTAAAGATTTGGTGATGAGCCGAACTACTCTCATTTGCCTGGTGTATGAACATTTATTACTATGTTTTTACCACTTATATTATACACGTTATATTTTTATTTAGTTACGGTTTATTTGTTAAACGAGTAACATGCATGTTCCGCTTTATAGTGTCTAATTTGAGTGTATTGTTGACTAATACACGCAAATAAAGTAAATGAAAATATATATATATATATTTTTTTAATTTCCCTAATGTATTTTTATTGAGACGATCATGAATTTTCATCAATACAATTCAATGTTTATCAAAATTATAAATATATGATTATACTAATTAATATATATATACTAATACAACATGAATAGGATTACCAATATTTTTATCAAAATTAAATTTTTTACAATGTGCCACGTATACATTACTTATAATATACGTTGATTATAATATAATAATATAATAATAATAATAGGATCTACACTTCCAGTGAAGTTATATTAAAATTGTTATGTTTATATAATATATAAATTTATAAATTATATAATATAAGTTATATTTAAGTAAATATTTAAATTGTAAAATAAGTATTTATAAAATTAAACTAAGCCATATGGCTTGATGCGTTTTAAACGTCTTAGGTCATTGGACTTGTCCAATAGTTGGATTGCCGCTATATTTTCAGGGTTTTCCAAGTTCGTTATATGCTTACGTGCAAATCGAATGATATCATCTATTACAGTTGGCAACATCATATCAGGATGAATTACATTAAATCATTTCTATCAAATCTGTAAGTCCCGACGATTGTACGAATTGTGATACCTGCATATTTGATCTGATCCACTTGTTTTCCGTTTATTTTGAATCCCATTGAAATTCAAAGGCATATTTGTTCCACTATTTCGACACATTTTCCATTAATGTATTTTAATACGCTTTTATTAACACATTAAGGGCCGTAGCGGCCTCTCCCAAAGGAGGAGGTTTCTTAGCCATTTATTAAGTATAAATATAACATTTATACAATTTATTATTGATATACTATAAAACAATAAATAATGCAATCGATGATAATCCGTTTAAACACAGTTAAGAGTTTTTAAATATCAATTTAAGTATAATAAGTGAAACTATAATTTAAAGTGCTTGATGCAACAATTAAGTAAGTTTGACTGCCTCAGAAAATAATTTTTTGTTATTTTTTATTTTGCTACGCAATTTAGTACAAAATCGAGTTCTATATGTTCTATTATTTGTAAAGATATTTAATTTAAAAAAAAAAATTTTACTATTGTTAAAAGTTAACCAAAGAAAAATTAATATATATATACTACAAAAGCTTCAAAATAAATTTTTATTTGCTCCAATCTGCTTATTTCGAAAATGTTTTTTTTACCAAGAGGGAAACAATTGAATATGACACACGAAACGCCTAAAATAAATTATTAATAAATAATTGTAATTATATATTTATTAATATTATATTAATCAAGTTACATACTTTATAAGAAGTATTTTATATTGAATTATTAAAAACACTTCTCTATTTCAGTGGTGTGTCCAAATAATATACTTACCGAACCAAATACTTCTAGATTCAACGATTTTCGTGGAGTAATATTCATTTTTAATCTGTTCGCGTTATTTAAACTCATAGCCAACAAGAGATTTTTTTTTAATTTTATACTTTTCTCGGTCCAATCAATACTATACATAGCAAACTGTACTCCATTTATCTGATAAAATCGTATAAAATATAAATATTAATATAGAAATCACTTAAATTTATAGAGAATCCCAAACAGCAATTATAAAAAATAATGTTATAAAAATATTTTTATAACATTATCGTAAAACAATGCTGTCTGGGATAATTATTAATGAAGTAATACTTTTTTATATAAATAAAATCATATGAATACGCCGTTGTTTATTTTATATTTTAAATATACTCTATCCAACTATAAAACTAAGGATTGTCGTTAACAAATTTTGAACCAGTATTCTAAATCTATTAATATTTTTAAAAACTGGTGCAAACAAAATTTAAACAATTTTCCTCTTTAACAAATAAAAAGTTGTTTAATCTACTTTCTCCATATAGACAATTAAAATACTTCATTTCTAATGTTTTGAAAGTACTTATTGTCGAATTAGGTTTGATATAATAATAGTTTTCAACTACAGAGTTGAATAATCTTACTTTGTTATTAATTTTTGAAATCTTTTTATGAGTTCCACAACTAGTCTATAATATTCCAAATTTTTTAGTAACATATTACTGTATAAATCATTTTTCAAAAAATGAGTTTAGGTTTCAAATAAATTTAATAATAGATTTTTACAATTATAATAAATTTTTATAAAATAACTGTTCCAATCATACACATTATTTTTTTGTGGAATATACACTACAGTTATTATAGTACCTTGTTAATACAGTGTAGATGTAGCATAGTTGGGATATGTATAGATGATATCTGCAGTAGTTAAAATCACTATTATAAGAAAGGCTTAAATGCAAATTTATAGATAGTGTTTAATTTTTAGAAGGATTTGTTGAATTATTTTAAAAGAAACATCAACTTCTATTTTATAATTTATATCCAGATTAGTAGTTCTTTAATTTATAAGTATAATATATGAATAAATGTATATAATAGTAATTAAATTTAGTATGAAATTGATATTCAATAAGTTAGTATTGTAATTTTTACGGAGAAATTATAAAGTAGTTGTATGTTTCGTTATATTTTTGGCAAACGTGTAGATAAATTAAAGGGCTTAATGCAAAACTTTTCAGAAAATAATTTTTTGTTAATTTTGAATAAGTACATTGATCTACAAGGAATTTTAATCAAAGACCAGATCATACTTTTCTAAACACAATTTTTGCCGATTTCAAATCTGTAATTAGATATTTTCTATCACCACTAATTTTTTATTACTAATTTTATTACTTATTAGGAAAAAATGAGTATTTATAAAAAAAAATAAATTGTGTTTTATAATTAATATTGTGACGTAAAAATTGATCTATCATTATTAGTATTATTTAATACATGCTAAGTTAATTAAATTAGCTCAGCAATTAGTAATGCGGTGTTATTGTCTAAGTGGTGTTAATTTTTTTAAAACTAATTTTGAACATTAAAATTCAGTAATAATTTAATTAAATGGTCCTTAGTAATTTAGTCGCACAATCCCTTCTCATACATTTCTCTTGTTGTACAATCATTATCAACATTTCAAACAAATTATCTTCATGATAAGAAGTCGCCCAGCTGACAACTACAGTAACTGAAAACAATGTAAACCATGTATGCACTGATATCGGCATTGTTTCCCTTTCCGGTTATTGTGTGTTGTCACTGTCAAGTGGTCTGGCCGTTTTGTTTCAAATGTTTTTGGCCTGGTCATGAAATCATTTTCTCTAGCCATCATTATTTTTATCACTAAGTACATTTACATTTTAATGGCTGCTGAAATTCTACTTTTACACCCTCCTAGCCCTAGGTCCAATCTTTCATAGAAAATGCAGTAGTGTCATAAGGTATTATTTTTACTCATACTTGTTTTCTTTTATTGTTCTTTATATTATTAAATAATTTGTAATAAATTTTAACCATAACTTGAAATATGTTTTATTACAGAATCTTTAATCTTAATTTATTTTGTACATTTATAATTTGTGAACGACACTATCTAATTGTACTTCGGGCATAAACATTTGATTTAAATTTAAATTTGTTTTTAGTTATTTTCAATTGCATAAAATAGAACATCATTACCTGTCTACAAGGGGGATTAAAAATAACAACTTTTCCAACTTAACTTTTGAAAGAGTTCGGGAAAGTCTGACACTTTTATATATATCTTAAATTAAAGCTAATGTAATAAACTTTATCATGGAAAAAAATTGTGCACTTTATTTTGTTTTCATGATAAAATAGATACTAAATGCTATTATTGTGTGAAAATTCTCGATTTTATATTTTACACTTTTAACTTTATAATACTATAACTTTTTGAAAAATTACAATTTTTTTTAGAAGTAGAATTTATATACATCTTTCATTCGACATACTTTTTTTATAAAATAATACCATTTCCCTTTATATATTTATTCATATATTACACTTATAAATCATAAAACTTGTTATCAGGATATCAATAAGGAAATAGAAGTTAATGTTTTTTTTGGAATAATCCATGCATTTTTTTAAATTAAACACTATCTACAGATTTGCATCAAAGCGTTTATTATGATAGTGATTTTAATCACTGTCAGATATCATCTATACTTGACCCTGTAATGAATCAAAATAGAAGTTTCGAGATTATCGAGAAACTTCTAGAATAATCTTTACACAAATAATTATCAATTTTAAAAACTTTTCTGACCGACTATTATTTTATTACTTTTTACTAATACATCGTTCATTTGGAGCGATGTTTACATTAATGTCCATCTTTTTAATTACCATAAGCGTATCTGTGGCGCCGAACAGACTGCAAGATTAAATAGTTAAATTTTTAAGAAAAACTAGCCTCCCTTCATCACCTTACCAACTAGTTTAATATAAAAGGGCTAGTAAAATTAGTACAGACTCTCTCTTGCAACACTCTCTCTCTCTCTCTCGTACACTCCTTCACTTGCATACTCTCATTTTCATGTTAAAAGTTAATAATGTAAAATTTATGTTACTTTTGTTAATCTTAATTATAAAACTTATATACATTTGTTAAAATAATTAATTAAAAATTATAGAAATAAATTCAGTATGTTGCCCCTTATACCAGTATTTTTATTTATTTAAATTTGTTGGGGTCAGGGGTACTAAATATTATAGTGCGTACCCGAACCGGCTAATTGCACTGATACCGATCAGGGTGCGTAGTGTAATGTATGTAAATAGAATCACTGGAGGTGGGAGGGTTCGCCTGCGCAGCAACCAGTGATCTATGTAATGAAAGCTGTGTTAGTGTGTATATATGTAAGTGTGTACTATTAAACAAAATNTTTAATAAGTTTAATTTCTTATGTCTTATGACCTTTATTCTATGTCAATTAAATTATATAATATTCATGAAAGTCAATATATTCTCCTAATAAGATATTTTAAAATAAAATAAAATTCAAAACCTAGAATTTTAATAGAAAAACAGCATATTATTGAATACGGTAGCCATTTGCGCATAGAACATAGGTCGTCGGGACAAATTTTTTTTTTTCATTTTATAGTACATAAAATAAGCTTTAATTTTATATATGTTTAAAGGACGCAGTATTTCCGGAACATTTTCAAAAATTAAGTTGAAAAAGTTAGTTTTTGTAAAAAAGTTACTATTTTAAATCCCCCCAGTGAGCAGAATAAGTGTTAGATTTTCAAAAAAAAATGATATCAAACAAAAGGTAATATCTAAGGTTTTAGTTTAAAAAAAAATTATGTTGATTTGTTGATTTTTGAAAAAGTTNTACAAAAAAATATTATTTTTATTTGTTCATTTTTGAAAAAGTTATGGCAGTTTTAAGTACAAAAAAACATCCCGATAAAAGGTAATTTTTATCGCAAACATTACATTTTTTTTTAATTTTCGACAGCCATTTGCACATAGAAGATAAAATGTCGGGACAAATTTTTGTTTTCATTTTTATAGTACATAAAAAAAGCTTTAATTTGATATATGTTTAAAGGACGCAGTATTTCCGGAACATTTTCAAAAGTTCAGTTGAAAAAGATATATGTTTTTTACAATATTTCAAGTTTTGAACATCCCCTATATAAGGAGAAATTGTCCAATTTTAATAAAAAGTATGTCAAATAAAAGATGTATTTATAATGTATTTAGAAAAAAAAATTGTGCTGATACATTCATTTATCAAAAAGTTATAGCATTTTTAAGTTGAAAATTTAAAATCGAAAATCGAAAATTTTAACACAAAAATAGTGTTTTTTTAACTACGGCAGCCGTTTAAATGTAGAAAAAAAAGTGTCGGGACAAATTTTTTTTTTTCATTTTGTAGTACATAAAATAAGCTTTAATTTGATATATGTTTAAAGGACGCAGTATTTCCGGAACATTTTCAAAAATTAAGTTGAAAAAGTTATTTTTTGTAAAAAAGTTACTATTTTAAATCCTCCCAGTGAGCAGAATAAGTGTTAGATTTTCAAAAAAAATTATATCAAATGAAAGGGAAATATCTAAGGTTTCAATACAAAAAAATATTATTTTTATTTGTTCATTTTTGAAAAAGTTATGGCAGTTTTAAGTACAAAAAACATCCCGATAAAATGTAATTTTTATCGCAAACATTACATTTTTTTTTAAATTTTCGACAGCCATTTGCACATAGAAGATAAGATGTCGGGACAAATTTTTTTTTTTCATTTGATAGTATATAACATAACCTTTGATTTGATATATGTTTAAAGGACGCAGTATTTCCGGAACATTTTCAAAAGTTCAGTTGAAAAAGATCTATGTTTTTTACAATATTTTAAGTTTTGAACGCCCCCTATATAAGGGGAAATTGTCCAATTTTAATAAAAAGTATGTCAAATGAAAGATGTACTTATAATGTATTTAGAAAAAAAAAATTTGTGCTGATATATACATTTTTCAAAAAGTTATAGCATTTTTAAGTTTGAAAATTTAAAATCGAAAATCGAAAATTTTAACAAAAAATAGTGTTTTTTTAACTACGGCAGCCGTTTAAATGTAGAAAAAAAAGTGTCGGGACAAATTTTTTTTTTTCATTTTGTAGTACATAAAATAAGCTTTAATTTGATATATGTTTAAAGGACGCAGTCTTTCCGGAACATTTTCAAAAATTAAGTTGAAAAAATTAATTTTTGTAAAAAAGTTGCTATTTTAAATCCCCCCCAATGAGCAGGTTAAGTGTTAGATTTTCAAAAAAATGATATCAAATGAAAGGAAAATATCTAAGGTTTTAGTATAAAAAAAAATTATGTGATTTGTTGATTTTTCAAAACTTTAAGGAAGTTTTAAGAAAAAAGTGAAAAAATTTCGAAAATTACCGATTTTTAAATTTGTAATTTTTTTGCATATTTCCCCCTNAAATTAGCGATTTTTAAATTTGTAATTTTTTTGGATATTTCCCCCATTTGCGGGGAACGAGGGAATTTTTTTCAATTTTTAAGGGTAATGTCTCCAACTAGATACGATTTGTGATCTTTTGACGTATTTTTGAAAGAAATCGGTACAGTGAGAGCTGAGTAAAAGTGGTAACAGACATAAAAAACCCAGCACAGTGGAGACGCGGCATAGTGGGGACGTTGCATAGTTGGGTCCAGTATAGATTTAATCTGACAGTGATTAAAATCACTATCATAAGAAACGCTTCGATGCAAATCAGTAGATAGTGTTTAATTCTAAGAAATTGGTGGATAATTACAAAAGCT